CATCCGCAGCTCCCTCTCCGTCTGTGCCCGGCCCGGCCCCCGAAGCCCCCGGCCGGGAGCCCTCCGGCGCTCGGAGGAGAGCCCAGCGCAGGGGCCCGCGGCAGCGCTGCCCGGGCGCCAGGTCCAGACGTGCCACCTCTTCCCATCGAGCCGTGCCAAGGGGAAGCGTTTCGGCCCCTGCGGCGACGGCGGTTTGCAGCGCGCTCTGGGCTCCGGCGAGCTCGCCCTTCCCTCTGCTTGTGGGCCGACGCTGTTCGAGCCCGTCCTTGCCGTTTCTGCCTTTGCAAGCCCGTTAAATGGCGCTGCTGCCTGCCAGCTCCGTGTTTGCCCTTGCTCTGGCACGGGGAGATTAGAGGTAATCAGAGGCGACAGGTTTATTCTGGGTCTGCGGCGGCGCTGCCTCCACGCCGTGTTACTTGTTTCACCTTTGTGCCCTCGCTGCGTCCCCGCAGCCGGGCGGCAGCAGTTACGGCAAGAAAACGAGGGTAATCATCTTTCTCCCCTAGATGGAGGAATGATAGATTTTGCCTGTAAGAGCTCTTAACTTTTGGGAACGGTTTGATTGCAGCTTGGCTCTGCCTCTGGTGCAAGGTGGACCTTCCCTCTTGGTGTTCAGGCCCCTAAAATTGCATTTACTTTGGTTTGTCTCCAGTAAGCGTTTCAGGAGCAAAGCTTTAGAGGATGCTTTGCGTTCTGTAGTGGTTTTATTTGGATTTCGGGATCTGATGCAAGGTCTAGCCCTAGATAACGTTGCCTGTTAGGATATTATACATCACCATTGGCAAATGTGGGAGCAGAGTGGCCTGTGTCCACCCAGCTGCTGCCTTTGGTTGCCCCAGGTCCGTCGATTCCCCGGCCCTGTCATCCTTGCATCACTCTGCCCTGGAGGGTGTGAGGCTGGAGCGAGGCTTGAGCTTGTGTCTGGACCACGCTCCAGGAAAGCCTTCAGTCCCTGATTCCCAGCCGTCCCGGTCCAGACCATGAGCCGGTTGGAGGAGCAGGGTGGCTTGACTTTTTTTGCACAAGCCAAGAGAAACGAGTAGGCGAAGAGCGTGTTTTCTTGCACCTTGTGAATCATCCTTGAAGTCGTAAATGACTTTTCCAGCAAGTTCATCATGAACTTGATTTCGTGGATGTGCCAGGAGGCCAGGACGGCACCGCTTCCTCCATCCACCTTTCCTTTTCTTGTCTTAGCAGCAGAAAGGCCTTAATCCCTTTGCCTTGCTGCTCTGGTTTCTGCTTCCTGTTGGTGCTGTGCCACCTTGGATCATGCAACTTTAATTTACAATTAGCATGCCACCAGCCTGCTTTGGCAGTCACTGGCTTGAGGCAAATCCCCGCAGCCCAGGGAGTTTATTAAACAAAATTAATAGAGGAAAGAGACAACAAATATTAGTAGCACTCTGTTGCGCTAGCGTCCTACTGGGGGTTCATCGCGTTGATGCAGAGAGACAGGGACTCAGAAGGACCCGGGCTCCCCAAAGCTGCGCGCAAAACTGTGCAGGTTAATTTACTGTAATGGCACTTAATGATTTTCAGGAGGCAGCCACTAAATCCTGCCTTCTAATCCCATTAGAGTTTCAGGAAAGTAATTAGTGCATTAAAGAGGTAGCTTTTTCTTCTCTCTTTTTCCCCTCTCTGCTCTCGAGCAGCAGCAGGCTGCAGTTGTAGCGCTGGCCCAGCCTGGATTCGGTGGCTGGTGCTTTGCCTGGCTCAGAGAAAACGCGGCTTCTAAATTCGTTGTAGCCCAGCTCCTGCTGCCGTTACTTTAAGCGTAGCATGTCACATGGCCGTTTTAGTACAACTTCTGGAGTGAGTCTTAAGAGTAGTTTTACTGAGTTTGCCAGGGTGCTGTAGTGAATGCAGGGCCATTCTCTTGCTCTCCAGCTGGGCTGCTGTATCAGCTAGTCCTTATTTTATGGTTGTGTCCATGTAATGCACGTGTATTCTAGGTTTTCTTTTTAATTTCAGCACTTCTGCAACGTCCAATTTCTGCGCTGTACTCTGCTTCACAAGGGAGCTCCTTACAGGAGGGAGTTTTACTCCTAACCTAAAACATCAAGACAGTTGAAACCGTGTTTATCCCTGAAAAATGACTTGAGGCCTACTCCTATTACCCCCTTCTGGGTTTAGCCATGCCCATAGCCCATAGGCTCTTGGATTGCTTCTGATCATGGTTTTCTATTAGCAGTATGATGTCCTGACATAGAAAGAGGTGCTACGCTTACCCTGGCGAGCTGATGGCCTGAACAGGCAAGACCTGAGAGACGAGGAGCACAAAGGTCTCCCTGTACAGGCGAGTTTCCCAGGCAGAGGGTTAGGTGTTGAGTTAAGCTGGCATAATGTTGGCGATATAATTTCCTGCGTGAGCAGAGGTGGAAGTTGTGGCTCGTGCCATTTGGGTGCTATGGGGCACGCAAGGACCTCCACAGGGCTGGAGGTGGGGTGCAGGAGGTGCCCAGCCCACCACCACGCGGGGCATCTCCAATGGCCTGAGATGCCTCTGTCCTGGTCATCAAATCCCATCTGTAGTCTGGAGTAGGAATGGCTTTTTCTAGCTCAGAGTTGCTTTGGAAGCAATTTAAGCTCAGCAAAGCTGCCCTTCTTCCTGGGTAGACGTCTGCGAGCGGGAGTTGCATCAGCGTGTGATCCTGGTGTAAAGCAATCTGCTGTGCAGGTGAGCCTTCCTGTTCGCTCCCTTGTTGAGGTGGAAAATTGTTGCATAGCCAGAGAGTGCTTTCTGCAGACAGGGAGGACTCAAGAGATCCAAATGAATTCCTGAAATGGGTTTGTTAAGCTGTAACTGAGCAGATGTGTTAGGAGATTCCCTGGGGAGGACCTGCAGGGCTGAGGGTGCTGCTGGGGAAACGGGGCCCTTGTTGGCGCATGTGCCCTGGGATCGCTCAGAGCGGTGGCAACGCCTCCCATGCAGCGGGAGGGCTTGGAGGTCCTCATCTTGGCAGCCGCCCCCTGCAAGCGCACCTTGCACCCGTGCTGAACGTGCCTGCACTGGGAATGCGCATCCTAATGAAAATTTGCCCATGAACAAACCCAAAGCAAAATGCATTCAGTTGAATTAAGGTTAAATTTACTTATTAATGTAACTTTACCTCCATTCTACCCCTTTGTGGTCTGCCCTCTGGTGGGGCCTCAAACCCTGGGGTGGGCCTCAGTCCCAAGAATGAGACTGGTATGTCTCAGGGTAATTTATCTCGTCGCTTTATCTCGGGAGGGGATGAACTCTGCTCAGGGGAGCCGGAGAGGCCCCTGACTGTAGAGAAGAATTGGAGGATCATCTTGGAGTGGATACTTAATGACTGCAGCTGAATCCAGCTCTGACTAAAGCCACCCAAGTCATCCCCGGTGGTAGGAGCTTTATCTCCTTGCTCAGAAGTCCATGCTTCGGCTAGGAGTTGGTTTTCGGAAGGCATCTCTTTTCTCCTTATCAAAGTGCATCATCAGTCCAGCTTCGGCGGGTAGAAACATTTCCAAGGAGTTGCCTGTAGCAGTCGGCAAGAGCAGGTAGAGAGCAAAGAGAAGGACCTGGCCTCAGACCTCTCTCCTTGAGCTAGGAGATGGATATTCCTTATATCTTGCTGCTCAGGGAGGGAAGCTGTCCCGGTGTTACGGGTCTGCAGTAGCAGGTTTGCTAACTCAGTTCAGGGACAGAGGTAAAACAACACAGTATTTTTGGGAGAGCAGCAGCAGCAATTGTGTCCTCTCAGGAGAAGGCCACCACGTACTGCTTTACTCTTGATGATAGCGCGAGTTTTTTTGCATTCTGTCTTTAGGAGATTATTTCTACAGTGTAATTCACTGTTCCCTTACACCTGTGTTTGTGTTGCCATACACCTAAATCTTCTGCAGCAGGGGTTAAATTTTTGGAGCTTACAGCCTCAGATTTTCCTGCACGGAGCCTCCAGCTGTTGACCGTAACTCTGGGGTATGGAACATTACTCCTAAAAAGATCCCCTGGCTTCCATAAATCCACAACCCATAAACATCTCATGAATGGTCTTGAAACGGAAACAAAACATTTAGAGTGGCTGATAATATAATGCCCATTTAATACCTCATGAATTCCATGGGCCATTTAAATCTTTCATGGATAGTTAATGATTATTCATCAGCAAGAAGTCAAAATAACAAACTCTGAATGGAAGGTCTTAAAAATACATTACCTGGGGAGCAAAAGTCAAGCCAGTTAAAAGCAAGCTTAAGAGTGCATACATTAACCCTTGAAAGGGTACATGCAAAATAGCTGACTAGAGGAGATCTCCTTGTTTCGGTGTCCAGAGCTGTGGTGGGGCAGCTGGTCCAATGGGTGCCACGCTCCTCAACACGCCAGCTCCCACGCAAAGAGGAGGTGAGCCCAAAGCCTCAACACTTCCCAGTTGTGGTGCCTTTCCCCCCAAACTAGTAGCTAGCCAAATTAATGAACTCCATGGCCTTCAGATAGCCTCCAGCAAGCAACCACTGCAGGAGGATCATGTCGTATCAATGCTAAATTAAAACAGCATGATCTAACACAGCTGAGCATGGGAGGAGAGGCTGAGCTCTCTTGATAGAGCTAAGGCAAAGCAGCTGCTGTGGATATGATGTGTTAGGGGTGTCTCTGCGGTTGGGTTTGTGCTGGGGGGAGCTGCTCTAGTGCAAGGCAGCTTTGCTCATGGGTTACTGTCCCCCTGCCAAGCTCACTGTGCTGCCGTGCACGGTGGAGACATGAGCACGTCACGCTGCAGAAGGGGTTGGGATGGCCGAGGTGACCTGTCCACTGGTGTAAGTGCACCAGTTTCCTTCCCAGGGGAGCGTGAGATCGGACAGAACCGGACCTTGGCTGTGGAGCTGTCTCTCTCTCTGGCCCATTGCAGCAGCTTTACGTATTTTCTCGTGTTAATTGTGAACCATTCATGCACACTCCTCGTGGATTATGCAATGTTTTCAAGGAGATCGCCCTGCCCTATATCTCTGCAATTGCATTCAAGATGTGAATTTGGATAGGGTTAGGTATTCTGATGGGAAAGATGCTTATCCAAAGCCTTGCAATGATCACCTTCCTTGCCCTTAGGCTTGTTGACGTTCAGGTTGTTTCTTGATGCCATTTTTTTTTTCAAAACAAGGATAAGGAGATCCTGCACGGATGAAGATATACATCTGAACGGGTGATAGAGCACGTATCCCTTTTTAGTTTTCCTTTTTCCTTGTGTTCTTTCCAACTTTAAATCCGTTGTTGCCCTGAGTTCATTTCTGTAGCGTGCAAGTACTCTCCAGCCCTAAGAAAGCTGAGATGC